AGGACACTCACCAGTTACCATCATGAGCAAAACAGATTCCATTTAGGGAAGTTTAATATCATTTATTGTCAATTGATAACAAAATAGGGCAGTGAAAAACAAAAACAGAGCCCAAACTAAAACCACCTTTCCCCCTTTTTCCCAGGCTCAACTTGACTGAAGGCTGTATCCTGAGTGGTGCAGGTGGGTGGGGAAGAGCAGTTGCAGCTGGTCCTTGACAGTTCCTCTTTGCTGTTCCTTCTTCCATGTGCTATTCCCCTCCCTGCTCCTGCTGGGCCCCCTCCCACAGGGTATAATTTTTCAGGAACAGTCTGCTCCAGCCTGGGACTCCATGGGCTGCCATCCCTGCCAGAAAACCTGCTCCTGAGTGGGCTCCCCTCTGTGAGGTGCAGCTTTCCTCAGGGCACCTGCTGCCTCATGAGGTTCTCCATATGCTGCAGTGTGTACATCTGTCCTGCCATGGTCTTTCGTGGGCTCCAGTGGACAACTGGCTTCACCAAGGGTGGCAGAAGAGTATCTGCTTCAGTGCCTGGAGCACATTCTTCCCCACTTTCTTCACTGACCTTGTGTTTCTGACTCCTCACTCACAACTATTGTGCAGCATTTTTTAATCCTTTCTTAAAATGTTATCACAGACGTGCCACCAGTGTTGCTGATGAGTTCAGCTTTGGCCAGTGGTGAGTCCCTTCTGGAACTGGCTCTGTCTGATTTGGGGGACAGGACAGTTCCTGGTGTCTTCTCACAGAAGCAATCCCTGCAGCCTCCTTCACTACCACAACCTGATGTAAACTGAACACAGAGGATAATGTAGTACTTGTCTATCAGGAAAGTGGGAACTGATGCAAACCCTAATTAGCCATGAGGCAAATAGATAATTCTTCTCTCCAGACTTGGTTGGGGTTTTTTTTGTGTGGCATGTACAGACATAGTCTCCTTGTAGGTGAATACATACGTGGACATGACCTCACTTTTGCTAACTTTTGATGCTCGCTGACCGAAAGAGAAGAGCACAAGGACTTCCCGTGACTTGCTTTGCATATGCATTTCATGTACAGTAGCACTGTTAAAATGGACTCTGGTATGAAATATAGTGCTGCTACGTGTGCCGTTTTGATGGCAACTGAAATTCACTTAAGAGGCACTCCTGAAACTGCTTATTCTGACCTTAGTATATTTTCGTAATCTTAGTCTCTGTAGCTCATACATCCGAGAATCTGGTTTAAATGAGAAAATACAAGAATGGGCATCATCATCTTTAGTTTTGTTGTTCTGAAGTTGCAGCAAAGCATTTAAGGACTTCATCAAAAAGAAGATGTAAGTGAAAGCTTTTGCATAACCTTGAAACATATTGTACTGAAAGAAAAGAGGTGCGGTGCTGACTTGACTTTTTAAGTATGGACAATATCATCTTAATTTAGATGTTTCGGATAAGTGCCATGTTGCTTTTCACACTCCAAGGCCTCTATTTACTACATAAACTTTGTCACAGTGCATGACAGTTCTTTGCTTCATCCTTGTGCTCTCTGTAAATGTACAAACAGTCGTGTTCTTTGAGATCTTTAGCTGTAGTCTCGAAACTCTTACAGACTTCAAAGTATGAAATAGAATTGTTAATTGGCAGCAGCCTCTTCTGGTATAGAATTGTTCACCTTTCATAACACTTCTATGTCCTCCTGGTCAGTTATTCTAAGCAGAAGAGTGCTGAGAGTACTTGAAGTAGAAAACAGTGGATCGTGCTGAAGAATGAAACTTGGAGGGAAAAGATTTAGAATGAATAGTCACAGAGTTTGCTTTTAAACCTGATTATATGATCTCTTAGTCACATGAATAGTTGCTTGTTGACTTGCTCCCTAGACAGACATTTGAGGTTTGAGTCTTTTGTTCTATATCCAAAGGAAGACTGTTATTAAAGAATATCCTTATCTAGTTTAGTTGCTCTGACTGGCCATTTTCTCCTAATTTGTTTTAAGGGGTGTTTGGTAGAAGAGAGGTTCTTGGCAGCTCTCCGATCTTAATAGCTTCTGAGAAAATGCATTGATTAGCCCTTTTGTTTTCAAAAGATTGCTGTAATTTTCATTCATTATCTATAAGGATATCTGTATAATTTATTAAATCAGCAGTGTGGATTAAGAATTAAAGACCTGATTATTTTGTCACTTAAACTGGTGTTAAGTTGATGTTACCCATGAGGAGCTTTAGTAAGGCAAGAGAAAGTGTAAGATGTTCCTCTGAACTCTTAAAATTCAAGTTTCTAAACCTCTTTCATAAGCACAGAACTGATTATTTTTTTTTTAATTTTTTTTTTTTGCTTATACTAAGAATAAACTCCATTTCTTGGAGTTTGGGTAAAGAAAACAGACCAAAAACTATCATATTAAAAAGTCTTATAAGAATAAGTTTGTGTGAGAAACACAACACTTAACACTGTATACGTTGCAAATTTTTTTTTTAAGTACCTTGTGTTTTCCCTTCTGATAGAAGAGAAAATTATTCTGTGTAGTCTTCGTACTTTTCAGAAAAGGAATATTTAAACAGTGTCTCTAATTTCTTGTTCCTTTAGCAAGCAGGTTACATTATAGGCGTTTGAATGGTACTGCTTAAGTGGATTTTGTTTACCTTAAAAACAGGTCTTAGAGGCTTTACAGAATTGAACTTTGATAGCTGAGGTATGAAAGCAAGCAATAAATTACTTTCAGACATTGTATTGTGGCTTCATAAAATTGTAATACATTAATTATGTTTTATCAGGGTAATCTCATCTTTGTTTATTTTAATTCTGTGAAGTTTTGTTTTAAAGACCCAGCATGAAGTAAATGAGTCACATAAACATAAAATTTTAATCCAGTTTGTCTACTATTACAATGAGAAGTTAGAAAGAATTGGTGGACTAATTGTTGGATAAGAAGACAAATTCTTCCTTCTCACGAAGTCTGTCAATCAGGTGCTTGCTGCAGTAAATTTCTGTTGATTATGTCAAATAGTGAGTTTTCATGTCTCCACTGTAAGTAAACATGCTCCAATCTCATTTTATTTGTGGCTGTTGTTTTGCTTTGTTTTTTGTTATCCAGTGCCTTACTGATCTGTGGGAATTACATTAGATTAGAGTGATTCTGTGGGATGGAATTGAACAGGCTGACTAGCACAAAGAAACTTTTGATTAGTTTTAGGCAAGGATGGTAGGATAAACGCAGTCATCAAGTTTTGGACACTGTACAGTCTTTTAGGCCATCCACTTGTAGATAGCTGGTTGCTTCCATCCTGACTGTTTTAAAGTTTACTGGTTTTTTGGAGTTTTTTGATTATTTGGTTCTGTCTTCAGTGTATGTGATGAAGGGGCTGGAGAACAAAACACTGCAGTGGTTCCTACTATGCAGCATATCTCATGCTGTTTAGCCTTCAACAAAGCCTTTGGTCGAAGCACATGCTAGTAAATTGTCTGCCACCCTAAGAAATGTGTCTTTAATAGAAAGGTTGGTTAAAGCTGGAAAAGCTTTTTGCGAGTATCATGACAGTGGTTACTACAATGAATAGAGGCCTGTTCTGCCATTCTGAGCTACAGCTGGTGTCAGCTGTGGTCCTGAATGGTACAGCAAGATAAAGGGAACATTTTGTGTGCTAATAATAGGCTTGGGACTGCCATAAACTCTTTATATAAATTATACATCACTACCGATTCTCTTTCTTAAATTTTCCTTCATCTTCCTTGCGGTTGCAAACCTGCCTAAATAACTTCCTAAGGCTTTGCAGCAGTTCTTGTGTGTGCTCTTTTCTGTGGTAAGCTGAGTCAGCAAGGGCAGTAAATAAATGTTTCAGGACACTGAACTAGACTCAGTGCCTCACATAATGGGGTCTCGTATAAACTAGAAGGATAGGCATTGAGATTTTTTTCATCAGTTAATTCCCTATCATGCTGACAGCTGCTGTTTTGTTATTGCATGTGACTGGCACGTTCAAAAATACTGTCTCAGGGCTTCTTCCCTGGGAAAACTCTTCTATGCATCAAAGGGGGAAACAGTGGAGGAATGGAACGGGATGGTAGCACCTCCTGTTTTTAATTGTATTCAGAATAGTGGGGGGGTGTTTACTGAGAGAGCATGTCTTCATAGTAGTGTTGGTGGTAGTGATGGTGGGGGGAGGTCGATACGGTATTTGGTAGGCCAGAATACTCTGCAGAGGACACCTCCTCTGAATGCTCAACTGCTAAGGTTGGACTGGACCTTTCCAAAATTATACAAACAATTCTTAAGTAACCTAAGCATTGATTTCATTCTGGAAATACTACTGGGTCACGGGTCAGTACTGTTATTGATGTTTCCTTTCTGGGTTTATGGATTACAACTGACAGAATTACAGTGTCAAGGAATAATTGAACAAATTGTGTGTATTGTGTGCAGCCAAGCTTTTATTCTTTTGCCAAAAATCAACTGATTTTTGTGAGATGGTAACAAGCCAATAAAGCTAGAATTAAGGGGCTGATGCTACCTCTTGGTTGGGAAGCATGGCTGGCTTAGCCTGTAGAGAAAGGCACAACTTCTAACAAAACTCTAAACCTTCTTTTTACTTTCGAACTGCTCTTGAAGGTAGCAGAGGCCACAGTATATGTTTTATGAGGTACAGACAATTCAAATCAAAGTATCACTGGATTGTGTGCTCATACTTTACCAATAAAGACCTGATAGAGGAGTATTGTAGTCCATGGAATGGAGTTCGTGGGTTTTGCAGAATTATAATTGAAATGTGAAAATTTGTTTCCAAAGCCAAGTGTAAATTGAGAAATATGGTATCTCTTTCTGTGCTTACTTTTGCAAATATTGTCATCAGGCCTTTTTCTACAATAGATTTAACTTTCATTTTATTGTATATAAATATGAAACATTAAGTCTGTATTAACAGTCTGTTTATAGAAATAAATGCACTCTGTAACTGCTGATACTGTTTGGTTTTGCAGGTTGTCTTCTGAATTTTGGGTCTGAAGGTACCCTCTTGCTTTCTCAGCAAATCATGGACATCGTTGGCTTTCTGAAGTCTCAATTCGTTTGCCACCTTCTGATCTGCTACATATTTATAGTGTCAGGACTGATAATTAACTTCATTCAACTCTTTACACTTATACTTTGGCCAATCAACAAGCAACTGTTCAGGAGGATCAACTGCAGGCTGGCTTACTGCATTTCAAGCCGTAAGATTTCATTTTGTTTTTTAAAAAATTTCATATTTCTTCCTGAGGGAATCAATAGAAAAGTTGTGGATTTCAAAGTAACCTATGTAAAGGTCATGACTGCTTCCTACCGTACTCACATTTTGTGTGGAGATGCATGCTTTTGTTGAAATGTCTTTGTGCTGAAATATTTTGCTCTTTTATACTGGGATATTCGCTTGACTCTGAATGTTGAGGAAAGATTACCTCTCGTTTGGCTATCCATCATGTTCCATTAAGCCAAATGAGAAATATTGACCAAATAATGCATCTCAGCAAGTTTAGCTATTATCTGTAGGCTTACAGTGTTAACAAGTCACTTCCAATAATGCTTTCAATCCTTTTATCATCTGTGATTTTGTTTATGGTCTTGGTTTACGTGTTTCATGTGTTTCACTGTTCAGGACTGGAAGATAACAGTAAAAAAAGGAAAAAGCCTTTATTTCATGTGCTTTTTTTTTTTTAAAGCCAGTTATAAATTGTTGTTTCTTTGAATAGGCATTTCAGATTTTAAGCTGCATCTGTTCAGTATGTGCATGTAACTATAATGTAGAATACAGCAGGAAGCCTGTAGCCATTTGAAAGAAGCAGGGATTGCAATTATTTTGATTTTCTGAGGCAGATGGGAGCGTAAGCTCAGGATATTAGCTGCAGAAAGACCTCACCTTTGAAACTGTTGTGAGATGTGACAATTCACGCTAAACAGGTAATTCCAGTGGAATAGATGAGAGCTGTATGCATTCATTTGTTCTCTGTTAGTAGGAGTGTGGTAGAATCCCCACCTGACAACAGTGAATTATCAGAGCATGTGTAGTTTTCTTGATATTATCAGTCTGTTTCTATATTTGTTTTTTAAGAGCTATGACTGCAGTTTCAGCACTGTTGCAATGCCACTTCTGACTTTCATATAATTGCTCTCAACTTGCAGCAGAGAGCGTTTATCACAGAAACTTAAAAATAGGGTAATGTACCCATGTGCAGTATCTGAGAGTGTGTTGTTAAATATGTCCACCTTCCAGAGAGATTTCCCTGGGCCTTTCTGGAACTCAAAAGTACTGTCTGAAAAGGAAACTGTTCCAAAATGCATGCCTTTGGAGACTCCCTAAAGATTTTTCAAATGTTATGTCACTGTCAGCGTTGAGTGAATTATGGATGATTTCGTACTGGGGAAAACAGCCCTTCAACCAAGCGTTTAAGAATTGTGTCGTAGAAATGCAGCAAAATGGTTTCCTTCAGGTCACCTGTTGGGCTACTAGGAACCTGGAAAGGGAAAGCATTGTTGGTATTCATAATGAACTGCTTGAGGTAGAAATTTGTCACCTGCCTCAACTAGGGGGCCACTAGAGATTATTCATCTTTCATCACTGAATGATGAGCAACTATTCAAAGCATTTTTTTCAGCATTCTTTTGGCTCAAATTTCAAAGCTGCATCAGCGTGTATAGGCCCGAATAAATTTGGGATGCTGTTTTATTATTTCTGTAATGGAAAGAGGATGTTCCTGCTGGAAAAAAAAGCCCTAAACATTTTTGCCATTTGTGTGTTTGTTCCTGAAGTAGTGAGTATGTACGTGCTGTTCATTTGCACACATGAGCAGTGGCATTGAATATAGGCTGGTTTTTACCTTTTGCCAGGTAACACAGTATATGTTTGAATCCATGGAATGTAGAAGATACTGTACAGCTGTATACAGGTGTATATTATTATTTTTCATGCAATGCATTGTGGCCCATTCCTCCTTTTGGCTACTTAGAGCAGAGATATCAACTATTCTAGAGTCCTCAGGCTGAATCCTTCAGCTTACCTCAATCTAGTTTCATCTAGGAGATGGACAGGGTGTAAGGGTAATATTGCATGCTTGTTCTTGGTGGTGCAGATGGCTTTGTATTCAGTGCTGCTGTTCTAGTCTTCAGTGTTGATACCGCTGGAATAGATTGTGTTGTGAGTTTTTTGCCCAGTCATGATCGGAGCAAACTTTGTTTAGGTTAAAGTCAGTTATTTTGGTATGAGTCACCCTCATCTGAGTGGTATTCGAAAAGGGAAAATGATAGTAAATTCAAAAAAGTATTTCAAAGAACTAAAGGCCAATTAATCAAAATGGATTTCTGTAGTAGTATGCGTATATGATAGTGCCTTGTTGGAGGCTATGGATGTGATGACTAACAAATAAATCAGGTCTGTATGAGTCTGATGAAAGTCATGGAAACAGCTTATAGTTGGAGACAATAAAGCTCAGCATTGGAGAATATGAAAGGGCACATGCTTTGCAGTGGTGACAAGCATCATGTTGCTTTGAGAGGCTGATACAGCCTGAGTCACCAAGTCAACCAAAGAGTGAAATAGAGCAGGCATGGTTTAAATGAAGAATGAAATGAAAGCAGCTACTGTCTTCAGATCTTGGAGGTTGAGCTGGTTTCTATTGATGTCCAAGGTAGAGATAAATGGTTCCATTATATCAGAGGAGAGTATTTCATCTTTGACACTATGCTCTTTGGGAAAGCTGGTTATTTTGTATTCTAAGTAGTGGTGTTTTCTTGTAGCACTTTTCTTCCTCTCTTCTTTCTAATATAAGAACATAACATTCCCACTTATCCTTGTTCAATATCTGCTGTCATATTGCATATGGGAAGCTAAAGTGCTGTTGTGATTAATGACTTGTCCTCACTTGAGCACTGCAGCTTGAGTTGGGGGTGCTTCACTCGAATCAAGCTTGACCAGCTCAAGTTAAAGTATTCAAAGAATCATAGAATCGTTAAGGTTGGAAAAGACCCTTATGATCAAGTCCAGCCATCAGCCCAGCACTGCCAACTCTACCACTGAACCATGTCCCTAAAAGCCATATCTATACGGCTTTTAAATGCTTCCAGGGATGATGACTCAAACCCTGGGCAGCCTGTTCCACTGCTTGACAACCCTTTCCATGAAGAAATTTTCCCTAATATCCAATCTAAACCTTTCTGGGTGCAGTTGGAGTTCATTTCCTCTTGTTCTGTCACTTGTTACTTGGGAAAAGAGACCAACCCCAACCTTGCTACAACCTCCTTTCAGGAAAATGTAGTGAGTGATGAGGTCTCTCCTGAGCCTCCTTTTCTCCCCCAGCTGTTCCTCATAAGACTTTTGTTCCAGACCCTTCACCAGTTTCATACCATGAAATGGCTGCATGAAGTAATTGTGGTTCAGTAGTTGAGCACATGTAGCTGTGTGAGCTGTTGCTTCTCTACTGTGAGTCTGGCAATAGCACTAAAACTTCTCATCATAACTGTTGACATCCCAGCAGGCTAAAGCTGTAGACTTCAAAATTCTCATCAATGCAAGTTAGAGAAGAGGTAGAAACCTGGTTTCCAGTTTGAATTTACAGTGAAAAGGATTAACTAGAATGGCAACTTGCTTTTAATGGAACCGAACAAGTGTAATGGCACACATGAAATTACCTGCAGTAATTGGTGTTGAGAAGTTGTTGCCTTGTTGCCTTTCTTTAAATTAATTGTGAGTCCTGGGTTGGGCAGACAGGGTGAGTTTAACTTCTCTATTGACCTGCTTCATTTTGTATTAGCATTGGAGAAAACTTTCTCATGACAGTGATGCAAATGAAAAAGTACTGGTTCTGATAAACTGCCAGTTTTTGATGAAATTTGAATTGAGTAAATGCTCTTTAATTGCAGGTTGGAAACCTCATTCAGCTTGAGTCTCCTGCTCCCCAAAAGGTGTGTTATCCATTCACCAGATTGTAGTTTGGGTTGCTTATATATCTGCGAGATACTTCTCATGTTTTACTATAAATAAAATCTTTCTGTTTGATCCTGTTATCCCATTTGACAAATATCCACAAAGTAAGGGTTAGTTCTAGTTATTCTTCCTCTGTATGTCTTGACCTTTACTGGAGAGTGTTCGTTGCAGAGAGTGGACATTCAGCTTGAAAAGAACAAGGCCTCTGTCTGTGCTGGTCTTGAAATGAGCCAGAAGACTAGTAAGGCTTATGGCACTCTCTGTTGTGTGTTAAGTTGAAAGAAACAAAAAAACCCTAAACAAACAACAAACGAAACCACACACACACACATCCAACAACAACAAACCCAGTCAAAACAAAAGCAAAGCACCAAAGCCTTCGGGCTGCTAACTTTCAGAAAATATTTTCTGGCTCCAAAGATATATTCATGGCTTGATTCAACTGCCTGTTAATCCAATCCCCCTTCTGTAAAATGGAAACCCTGATAAACTTTCCATTATACTGAGCTCAACAGAGTGTACCCTAATAAGGAAATTGAACACTGCAAACCTTGACAAGGTGATAACAATAAAAATTTTAAAACCAAGTGTGCCTGGAAGTTGGCATAAAAACCAAGGTTGGACAAGAAATTATTCTTGGGTTTTATTTGTAAATAATTTCTTTTTCCAGAAGACTGAGAGCCAAGATTTATGCCAAAGAAGCATGCACTAAGTGTGGAATACATCACAGTTCTCATGGATTCTGTTTGTGCCTGAATTGGAAGAGGTGGGAATACATCTTCCTTCTCCTTATTATGTGATAGCAAACCATGACAAAGGGTACACACAGTTTTTCTGCACTAGCTTGTAAAATTGGCCAAACACATAAAGGGAACATGTTGTCTTGGGATTAATGCCATATGGACACATGGCTGCATGGCTTCCTGGGCAGTGGAAAAGTGGTTTGTACTTCCTGAACCACTTTGTGTGTGGTTGGCTGTTGCAGTACAACTCCAGGTTGAGCAGGGCTTGCTGGGCTCCTGCCAGCTGTAGGACATAACTGCCATGTGCCAAGAATGCAATGTACATACAGGATGAATGTTTTCTTTTGAGGTGCTGGGTGGAAGGTATTTGCCTGTCAGTGGCATGGTGGTTGTTAACTTCTCCTCTTGCTGTCACTGTGTTGTGGGAGAATGAGCTTCTCCTTGTGCTGAGATCCACCTTGCACTCCCAGGGTGAGTGGCAAACTGGCCTCCTGCTCACTCTCTGCACCAGGTG